CACCTGATTACACTTCACTGACTGAGGAGAGAAACTGCAGTGGCATTGGAAAGACCCAAACCAAGATACCAAGTTTGCCATTCAGCCCAACACTTGTGGGTTCAAAGGTAATGTATATTGTAAATCCCTTAAGAGGAGGTACCACAGGAAGGCTTTATAGAATGTAATTTTGTAATCCTTTTTTATGCTCCCAGTCTCATTTAAAACCTTACTTCTGTAAAGCCAGGTAAGATTCTCCCATCTTAAAGTTCACCTTAGGCCTGTCTTTCCTGTGTTCCTGTATTTGTAATTGACTCTGCAGAAAATGGGGTATTTTTGCTCTGGCACTGCAAGGGCTTCTCTGGGACCATGGATTGCAAATTCTGTGCTGGAGCAGAGTAAATATTCCCTGGAGAGCATCTGCTTGAGCTCAGTGGCTAACAAAACATGTGGGGTCCCTATGTGACAGAGCAGGTGAAACAATGGCTGCTAAAAAGCAAAAATAAGAATTCAGTATTTTGAAAACTGCCAGCTTGACAGTCCTGGCACCTGAGCTACTCCAGCCATAGAATGAACAGCACATCCAGTTTCCTCCCCTCTCACTAGCACGTGCAGTTGTGAGCATTTCAAAGGCAGCACAAGCATTTCAGCCTCCTCACAGCCTCAGAGGTTTGGCCCTCTGCCCACACCATTCTCAAGACAGTCACTATGTATCTTTGGACAGAAATGAAATGACTAATTACAAATTGCTTATCTTAGCAAGACTGCAAAATCCTTATTGTAGATTGAAGTCTTTCCATTTGCTACAGTTGCCAGCAGGGCTCTGCATTTGCGTTTTAGTTAACAATAAGGTTATTCAGTAAAAAAATACCAAACTTCTCTTTCCATTTGGTCTCAGACCTTTCTTTTGTGTGACTCCAGGCAGTAGTCTGTGTGTCACCCCAGAGTTACAAAACTCTTCTTTCTGGCCTTGACATCTTGAGAAATGATAGGAGAAAAACTACAGGAACAGCATCAAGCAAACCCTCTCAGAGAGAAAAAAGAAATTGTAATGAAAAAAGAAGAGCCATGCAGAGAGCAAAGCTGACAAATCTCTTGTACAAACATATAAATAAATTAAATAGTACTAATGGATGAGTGACAGAAAGACAATAGTTTATCAGCCTCAGTTGCATCAAGAAGTACCAATTTCACACTCTGACACCTTACATTACTGAAAAGATATAGACTTGTGCATTAATCAGAAAAAAAGTTAAACATAAATGTTTACCCCCATTCCCATCTGCAATTTTTTATTTAGAAAAATATAATGAGAACAGTAGACACTGGCATTAAAATAGAGATAGAATGACATCTACTGGCTGTTATGAACTGGCTGGAAATGCTAAAAATGTTTTGGATTTTTCTCCCTTTCCTTAAATATTTAAACTAAGACTCTTATTACTAGTCATAGAGTTTAGCTATTGAACAGGGAATGGAGAAGAGCTCAGTAAATTTCCCAAATAAAAGTCTTCTCTGGTCAAATTTTAACCACCTACATAGACAGCTTTAATATTAATGCTAGTGAGTAGAGAGATGCTCTGCTCCAGAACTACCAGAAACTGGGAAAAACCCCAGAAAAATTGCAATGTTGCAGAGGATGAAGGTCTCCATTGCACATTTCACAAAACTGATAAACAGAACTAAGTTTCTTATCAAAAAATTACTTCAGCAGCTGAATTTATAGCACAGCATCACTTTGTAAAATGATAATCATTACCTTTTTTCCTGAATTTATTTAGTGCAATGCAATTATTGTTCATTTTTTTACTTAGAATTCTCAGCACCTCCTTTTTTAGGGATTTTATAAGTTTCACATGAACAAGACATTCTATTCTGAGGGTTTTTTAACCATCCTAGAGCAATCATCAGTAGATTTAAAAATCTCAGAATGTCTTGAGATTTTGCTAAAGGTCACAGAAACATCTCAGTCCTAAGAGCACTGTTCTTTGTGCTGTCCATGTCTCCTGGATCTGTGAGTGAGGCCCTTTTCCCTGTTCACAGCTCACTCTGTGGGTGATGCTGCCAGTGCAAACAAATCGATCTTGCTCATTTTCTAGCTACCACAAGATATATTTTCTCCTCCTGCAGTTTCTCCACACTAGTTAATTAAACTCCTCTCTACTCTGTATTTGGTGGCCTCCTCACCAAGAAATATCTATCTAGCCCTCACACCTCTAAAAAGAATCAGAAATTAGTCTGATATAGACACGAGCATTTGGTGATTCTTTCCTAATATATTCAGCTGGGAAAAAAGAAAAATTCTAAGGAGATCACAGTGTTATCCCAACTGATGTTTATATAGCATATATTTATACAACATACTGCAGAGAGGCAAAAGCAAGCCTCAATTCTGGCCTTGAGCCATGGCCAAAATAGACAAATATGAACAATGAGATAGCACAAAGGTGGGGGGGAAAGCTGAGGGTGAACTAAACCGAGAGCTGATATTTGCAAGAGCAGACTGGGGATTTAAGAGTGTCTTTCATAAAGCTCCAATGGCTCCTCCACTGCAGGGGTGGATTCAGACTCTGCAGGAATAGCACAGCTGCACTGAGCAGTGCTCCCTCTTGCCCAGGCTTGGGCTCAGAGCAGGGGATGCTGAGCTGGGGTGTGCAGGACACTCAGGGAAGGAACATCCCCTGATGTCCCCTCCTGCAGCAGCTTCACTTTGGTGCATGGATCTGGCACACAGAGCCCTGAACCTGGAGGGAAGCTCTAGGGCTGCATGAGTTACCACTGCCAGAGCAGGACATACAGAATAATTTTCAATCATTCATGTGACTTTTAATTTCACATGCCAGTGTGTTTTGAAGTTCACAAAATGTTTCCAGGTATTCCTTTAGGGATAATGAGGATATATTTATGCTGCTACATTTTGTCCAATCCTATTATCTTAAAAAAATACATAACAATACACTAAACTGAAATTGATACATCATTCTTGAGAACTTTTCACTCTTCCATAAGCTATCATACCAAATCTACTGAAGGGAAACATTCAGAATTCATACTGACATCATATCCAAATTTGAAGAAAAAAACCCCAAAGATATTACCTTGGATTGTTCCTATGCATCCATAGAAAGAAACATGGTATCATAGTATTTCATGCTCATACATTTTAACCACAAAATACTCCAATATGAGTTGTTCATTAAAGCTACCACTGCAGATTCCAACAGTTAGCCCACTTGGGAAGCTCTAGTTTGAACAACAAGAGAGCAGCAGGTTGCTTTAACTCAACTTGTTCATCAAACAATTCCCACAGGAAACAGCATGAAATATCTGTACTTCCTAGGGAGCATAATCTGTCATTTCACCCAGCTCAGAATGTTACAAAAGTCACCTAATCTTTTCCTTAGAAAACCCACAAAATAGTCCTATGAACCCTCTCTTGGAGAGCCTCTTTCTCTCCATCAAGTTCAAAAGGAATCTAGCTAAGACAGAGATATCTGTATTGCAGAACTCTGAAGCTGGAGGAGATTCAATCTCAGCCTGTAGATAAGAAGCAATATTCTCCTTGCTCTCAAGCTCCCAGCAGTCTGCAGGACTGAATTTTGCTCTGTTACTTCACTGCTCAGAGGGGCTGGAGGGCTTCAAGTGCAGCCTCCTGTGTTCTGTGCTGAGCTGTGCTTTCTCCAGACTATGGGAATTTCAGCTTCCAGGTGCAACTGAGGCTTCAGGTCTGCACCGCTGAAATGTGTCATACATGGAGCAACCTCCAGTCCCAGCAAAAGGAGCAGTCATTCAGTTTGTATCACAACTATCTGCTTTTGGAGAGTAGACCTTACTGAAATTCTGTATTAGAGTTTTTCCCACTTTTAAATGTTTATTTTCTATTTCTACATATACATATTTCATGGCCCTGATTTGGTATCTGCATTTACAGAGAACTCTCCAAATTGTGTATTAAACTGAAAAGGAAAAAAATTTTCTCCTGTGATCTTGTTTGAGATCTTCATAAAATTCTTATTGCATAGCTGTCTTTTTTCCCAACATCTTCATTCACAAGCCCATGTAAAAACATAGAGCTTTTATTATGTAAATAAAGCCTACAAGAAGAAAATGAGGAGGGCTGAAGCTATGTCTGACTTCACACATCACAATGATTGATTTTTGCTGTCATTAAATAGCTATTTCTAATGTGTATTTTGCAATGGAGATAGAAAATAGAATGGTAAAAATGCAATAGGCTTATAGCAAACTAATGTGACATAATATGGTGTTTCTTTCATTTTTAATGAATTGATGTAATTATAACTTACTAATTTCTAGTTCCAAATAGATATTTCTGATGCTGTTATGGAAACACAGTAATAACAAAGACCAGAGTTATCCAAAAGTTACCTTATGCTTTATATTTCATAAAATCACCTCTTCCAGTAGCCTGCCTACCATTTTCTCACAAAATTGCATTCTATATTCTGAAAACCACTTGATGTTTTAGAATAACTCCCATGTGATCATTCACTGACTGTTACAATAAAACTGTCATGAAAAGTTTCATCTGGTTAAAGGTCAGAATATTTTAATGGTTTGGCTATTTAATGGGCTTCAGGCAGGCATAATTATTTTATATAGAACTGCATAAAAATCTAAAAAAAAGCTTGTTATTTCAGTGAATCCATGCTGCCTTCTCTAAGAGTGCATGATGAATGTTCAAGTCCCTTTTCAGCCCTAAATAAACCAGAGATTTTCCTCTCAACTTAAGTCATAAACACAAACAAAATCCCTGTGTTAGAGCTGGGCCATTGCTTGGCTACATTTACAAGTGTGAACTGCTCTAGTGCAACAAAGACCAAACTCTGGTTATACCATTTCTGTAAATGGTTACATGACCATCTCTGTGAATCACCAATGAGTGAGACTGCACCACCCTTCTCCTGTGGACTGTCTGTGGCCTCTGTCCTACCATGCTTTTATTCTTTAGCACTGGATAAATATAAAAAAATAATAAAAAAATTAAAATCAGTTCTTACCTTGACTGGCCAAGACATTCTGAGTGGGTTTCCAGAGGTCATTTCAATCCATAGCACAATGGCTGCAGCCAGCACCATGACATTAGTTCTCAGCTTGGCTTTTAGAAATATCTGCAACATAAAGCACAATAAAATAACCTAATTTCCTATGATTCAGGTATCAAAATATATGAGTAACATGTTTATAATGCTTTTTTCATTAAAATTGTACATTTCAAACATAATTTTCCACTTGATTTATATCTGCTTGTTCTTTTCCAGTTTAGAGATGACTTTCAAAGGTCTTTTCCAACCCAAATATTGAAAAATTGTATGACAACTGCCTTGAATGATTTGCTAAGACAAATTGCTTTATAGAAATGACATCCTAAAGTAAAAGATTAAATTCAATTATATTAGAAAGTTCAGGACATTATGAAGGAAAAATACAGGCTTTCTCAGTGGACTCTTCATCAGTAATTTTTCATTACATGATTTTCAATAAGGAAACAACATGAAGTCAATTCCTAATACATGTACTTTGTTGTACTCAGACGAAGACAATCAGATTTTTATGGTTTTAAGAGCCAAGGTCAGACTAACAGTGTTATATTAACCCTTGCAGTTTAGAGCACCGTAGGGCTTCCTGCAGTTTTTAAGAAATAAATGAAAAATCATGCCAGTTTAGCTAACTTTGATTTCCAGTGTGTAAAAAGCATGCAGGTCTCAGAATGAACTGAAGCCATGACACCACAAGATTGGGGGATATTTTTGAGATTCTTTTCTGCTGAACACAGCAAAGCTTTCTGCAGACTCCCTGAGTGTCTCCACAAATGTGAATTCTTTACCACTACATTCATCTACCAGCCCTTCTAAAACCCTCATTACTCCTTTTAGAAGCTCATTGGAGCTCTCTACACTTCAGCAGCCCTTTTTAAGACCTATTCCACAATTAGTATGCATCTCTGATCTCATCACATACTCCAGAGAAGCAAAGTTTCTCAAGCACAGTGAATACTTGACATTGGCTCTCTCACAGGTGAAAAAACAAACCTGTGAGATTATTTCTGCTTAGAGCAAACTTTGCAACTTATATATTTCTGCACTTAGTTTTATCAGTTTTAACAAATGCATTATATCTTTCTCTTTCTACTTTAAATTAAGAAATGCTTTGATCATTACAATTTTAGACTGAAAAAAGAAAATGCTTGCAGAATAAATCATTGTTCCATAACAATGGCTAACCAACCCTGCAGCAGCCAAAGGGAAATTCATCAGTACTGTTCATAAACATTGATACAGACAGAATGAAATTATTATCATTGTGGTCTTTATTGATTATTATATCACACAATGTGACTTCAAGTGTGACACAAAATACCCTGAAAAGTATTTCACCTCCAAGTGTTTATGTCAATAGCTAGGAGAAAAATTCTTTTTCTTGACCTTTCGCCACAGGCAAATCTTCCACATATTACATATTGATTTTGTGTATTTCAGAACATCTTGAAAGATGAAAGCTTAAATGAGTTGTGATCAAAGGTTGCTTTCTTTTGATAAAAAAGGATTAGCTAAAAAAACTTCTATTAAAAAAATAAAATGATCTAAAAAAAGGGGCCATCCTACAATAGCATACACAATTCATAAACACAATACAAAATGTGCATGAAACATGGGAAAAGTTACCAGACATATCCCAGATGTAGAACTGCCCATTTTACTGCTTCTGCTTCATTAGTGTAGTAATAAAATGAGAGGGGAAACATTTTTACAGCATGCAAAGGGCACCTTTGCCACAAAGGGCACACTCTTGCATGCTGGATATCCAGGTTTTGTCTTACTGCATCAGTGGGTCAAACCTGCCCAAAAGCACATTTAATTTTAGTAACATCACCTCATTTTACGTAATGGGAGTGAAGTTTAATTTGTTCTTCTTCTCCAGGAAGAAGCTATTTTGTAGCTATTGAACTACTCCTTTGTCTGGGTTGTACATGCAAACTGCTAATCTATTTGGCATCACAAGAAATGTAGGTTTATACTCTTGAAAGTAAAACAAGGAAAGGCAACATACACACATTTTACACATTTAAAAAAATAAAAATCAGGCAAGTAATTTCTGATAGGACCTCCAGAAAACTGAATATAATTTCATTGAGTGTCCTAGTTTCCTCCAGCCAGGACAATCCTTCCATCCCTCAGCTTCCAGGTCTTTATCGAACCCATAATGATGAAACTTTCATCTCCTCTCCTGCAGAAAACTTTTATTTTTTTCTGCTTAATTTATCATCCACCATGAGTCTTGCAAAAAGATGGTTCTTGAAAACCTACAGAGAAAACATTGGTCTCAGTTTCTGTGGTCCAGAGTTCATTACATCTGGAAGTTCCTTCCTCTGAAGATCCCAGATTAGGTAACTTCCAAAACCACAAATTATGCTTTAGAATTTTAAAAGTTTTTGTCAAGAAGTTAGTGTTGTGCTCTTTAGATATTGTGGGAGTGTACTGAAAACACCTCCTCTGCTCAGACATTCCCATTGCTCAAAGAGAAGTTCCCATCACCAGCATCTCTGTGATCTCCCACCAGCTGTTCTGGTTACTGGGTTTGCGCCATCTCTAATGTAACAGATTATCTATTTTTATTTTTTTCATAAAAACTGGCCATGTGGATGAAGCAAGAAATTTGGCTTGTCCTATGAACTAAGTTTTGCCTGAGCTCCAGCCAAGAGAAAAATCAAAAGGGAAACAGTGAATCAACTAAGTCTTTCTTGAGCAATATTTTGCGCAAGTGCCATCAAAATTTTCATTTTCACCTACCACAAGTGGAAATTCCAGAACAAGTCAAGATGAACTGCTATGAGAAAGAAGGGCATTTAAAAATTCTGAATTTTTAGAGTCTGGGACACTTTTGTCCTCCTTGGACAGTAAACTTGCAACTGTAATTTTCAGTGAGGATGCCAAGAAAACACCTGCCAGACCTCTCCTCTCTTTGAGGACCATAAAAATGCAGTGCTTGGTAACTCCATTGCTGAAAGTGATTTCATCCCAGCTCCTGCTGCAGAGTGCTCAGTGCTGAGCTGTTGCCATTGGAAGCACAGTCTAGACAAAGATAAAATTAGAAGCAAGCACTGTCTTTTTTGGAAAGCACAAAACAGCATCTAATCTCATCTCATCAGACTTGTTCTGTCTTGTCTGCATTATCTAGTGACACTATAAAATGGTGGCCAGGACCTTCTTTGCTTGAATTGAGGAGCAATCTAGTAAGAGCAGTCCCAAAAACAGATATGATGAAACGCTTACCAGAAGAAAAAGAAAAATCTGACAAGTACAGTATTCATCACTATTCTGCAAAATCTTATCATTTTCCCTAGCAGTGTAGTATACACGTCAGATTTAGCAACAATAATTATTAACTGAGCTGACTCCAGGGGAAAACAAAAAAAACATGCAATGCTCCTGTACTTCAGAGACAAGCAGTAACCCATGTATGTCACAGCTACATTTCAGTTTGACATGTATTTTATTCACTTTCTGCATGGCTTTGACCCCAACATTTTTCAGGATCCAGTTTAAAAATGCAGGATTAAATTAGATTTTTTCCCCTTGATTTTGGATAATGGCGAATTACTCACCACATCCTTAAGTAGGTTGTTCCCATGGCTAAGTTAACTGCAGACAGAGCTATGAATGTGTTTCTGGATTTCATTCCCAGTATGTCTGTTGTCACATTGATTGCCAGAACATTTTATGATCATTTTCTCAACTAGATTGAAAAGCCATCAACTACTAGAATATTATTCCCCTTGTATGTATTATCCTTAACTAAAATTCATTTTCACTTGGCTATGCAAATAAATTCATTTCATTAAATCTTTCACAAGTCAGTTATTTTTTTCATTTGCTTCTCCTGAATCCCTCCTAATCACTTGGTGTGCTATTTGTAGGGAAGCAAAAATGTGAGCAGCATTGCCCTGTAAGGACGGAGGCTGTAAGGACACAGCCTTCACCAGGTAACTGTGGGCATTCACACCCAGCACTCACATCTGCCAGCTATGTTTGTCCAACCCCACCTTTGCATGATTAAGATAAACTTGACAGCACACAGGTACAATGTCAGTGACTGACAAAGCTTTGTAATAATGGCCAATGCTCAGAGCACAGAAAAAAAAAACAATCACCCAGTTCACTTCCAAACTTTCCTGGTGTAAGTCTATTGATTTCAGATGAGTTCATCCTTATTTATACCACAGAAATATCAGAAACAACACATATACCAAATGTTTGTCCCAGAATACACCATATTTATCCATTAGGAAAGTTGTGGGAGACTCTAATTTCCAGCTGTACATTCCCACCACCATGCCCATGCTTCCAAGCATTGGTGATATGCATTTTTAGCCTCCATTTGTCACCAAAGTAAACATGCATTCATTTAAAAATAACATTGAGATTAAGCTATCTTAAACTGCATTTCTTTCTCATCCACTAGATTCTGATGATATTTTCCAGTTGTATGGAAAGAGTTTGTTGGTCAGACAGGATTTCTCTGAACTCTGAAGATCTCAGATTAGATAACTTTCAAAACTCCAAGCTGTGTTTTACACAACGTGCATGCTTTTACATATTAGCCATTATATTTGGATTAAACATGCAAAAAGTTGAAGATCTGCAGTGTTTTCCAAGCAACTTCCATGCAGCTTGAATATGCTCAGCTGGAGAGATGCAGACAGATTGTATTACCAAAACAAATAGTGTTGTTTAAGGCACAGAAATACAGCAGTAAGAGAAACTTCAACTGTTTCAGGTCTATGCTGCTCAAGAACACTGTTCTAATTTAAACTTGATGAGACTCAAAAAGTGGCCCAAAAGAAGAAATGGTAACAGTATAGTTAAAGATACAAGGACTTGAATAGTTCAAAGCAACACCCAATCATAAGGTAATTATTTCCATTACAGTGAAGCTATTTCAGAGATTATGTAAAAAATTGGAAAGTGCCTGTGATTTAGCTTTGTTTTTTCTCATTTTCCTAAGAAAGCAAACAGTATATATCACACTCCCTGTTTGCCCATCTTCGTTTGTCGGTCCTTCATTCTCCCTGCAATCACTTGTCAATTCACTGGACCATTTTAACCAAATT